GATTGTGATCATCTCTATTCTGACTGTCGAATGAGTGAAATCTGCCACCGCAGCTGTGAACCAGTGACTGAAGAAAGCTTCTCTCGCCGATATACTCATCTAAGGTCTTCCCCCTCAGATGATCAGCGTGAGTGAACAGAATGATGGTGTGACATAAAGCATCTTCTCCGATGTTCTTACGGATCCATCTCACTGTGTTATTCTCTTCGTCTGTGAATCTCGTGTCCAGTTTGATCACCAGCACAAACACATGAGGACCAGGAGCAGACATGAAGACAAACTTCTCGATTTCGTCCTTCATCTTCTTTTCTGGTGCATCAATCAGTCCAGGAGTGTCAATTATTGTCATGCTCTTTCCAGATACACAAGCTTGTTTTAGCCCGCTGCTTTCAGATCTCTCAGATCTCCTTTGGTCCAGGATGGTTTCTACCGCGCTGGTCTTTCCTGATCCAGTTTTACCCAGCAGCACAATACGAGGACTTTCAGACCCTGTCAAGCAGAATGTGAATTAACTGAGCGATCAGGTTCAACACTATCAATTCGATATGAAGTGAAACAGGCACAGTGAACAGATTTTATTCACAAACAGCTGTTTATATCATAGTGGCATTATGTTTCAAAAAGTTTAAAACAATTATTCAAAAAACGACCTTTAAAAAAAAATTTGAAAAAGCCCTAAATACAGTCGCAGCCGTAGCTGTACCAGTAAGTGTTGGATCCATAGCAGCAGGTGTCGTGCTGGTAGCAGAGGTGGTCATAGCACCAGTGCTAATAACCACAGGAGTTGTGTTTGCGGCTGGAGCAGCTGGAGTCTTTGTCTGGAAAAACATTTACAAAAAACCTTGTTTTGACATTGTAGATAGCAGGGATTAAAGTTCTCCAAAAATCCACTGAAAAAACACTCACTGACTGAATTCTGCTCTCTCACTAATTCTCTCCTAATAAACAACGAAGTGCAGATCTGATATAAGCATCAGTACTGTATCCGAGCATTAGGTCTTAAAGTGACAGCAGCCTAATATACCTGCTGCTGTCTGTGTCATTAATTTTAATCAAACAACAAAAGAAAAAGAGAAAAGCACGTACTGCTCTTGACTGAATCACTTTTAACTAAAGAATCATCTATATTTATCTATATAATGCAGTGTCCATTTACATTTGATTATTCAATATCTGTGCCTGAGTATCTGATAAACTTAAAACACTGTTTATTTCATTTGTATATTTGTTCTGTTTCATTTATTAGGGATATTGTTTGTAATTTGTTTATTTGATCTTACTTCGTTACTGACTGTTTGCTTGTCTTTAATAATGCTTGAGCTTTATTTTAGTTAGAGTATTTGTGAAATTTCACTGGTATCTAAAATGTTGGTGTCGTATTTATTGCAATACATGGATTAACAAAAACAATAGAAACAATAACTTTGTTTGCTTTTTAATTTCATAACTGTTAGTCTCGAGTATTTAAATGAAGTGACAGTTAAAGTAATATGAAGTAGCCTGAAAAGAGAAAGAAAAAACACACACAGAGAGAATTAGATGACACGTGAATTTTAATAATCGGCCAAATACCCAGGCCTAATGTTTAAAATGTCTAAAGTTTTTCAGTGTGGTTTTTATTTAAATAATTCAAATCTGATCTTTTATTATTTTATATTTTTTCTTCACTGTGCTATTGTCACGATCACCAGCTGGAGTGCCCTTGATAGCCACTAGAGGGCACTCCATCCCAAACCATTGCCACTCTGTCATGGACTTCATTCCCCACAATCCTATGCACAGACTCATCAGCACTCATTGTTTTCACCTGTGTCTCATTAACCCTGATTGTTCACCCTACATAAGCCTGGTTCATTCAGTCATTCATTACTAAGTCTTGCATGTCTCATTATGGCATTTTTAAGCCTTGTATCCTGGTTCTCCGTGTCTTGTGCTGTATTCACAATTACTGTGATTTCGAGATGACAACACGTGACGCTCTACTTGGAGCTGTTAACATTCTTGGCCTCTGAACTACATAGCGCCTAATGAATCTGAGGTGGTCAGGTGGTAGTAGTACAAGTTGTAATTACAAGTTCTATGAGGACGTGAAGGCGTTTTACAAGTTGAAATCTCGTAACTATGGTAATTACGACATGGCGTGAACGCACCTTTGGTTCCTGGTTTTGATTATCAGCCTGTTAGGCTCAGCCCTGAACTCAGTCTTGGTTTGGATTGTCTGTTTGTGTATGACCTTTGCCTGTTTTTTGGACTACGTCTGTGGATTAACTCTTCAATAAATACTGTGTTTGGATCCTCAAGCTTTGGGTCTCTGTGCAGTCCATGACAGCTGTCATCAGTTATGTGCTTTTTCAGTTTAATATTTGTAGTGTTGCTGAACATTTTGTAAAGTTGTTCTTTGTACTCAAATGTGAATAATAAACTGCAAAAGACTGCTTTTTAAATATGAATCCTGCATGTCTCTGTGGTTTTATCTACGACATAAGCTCACTGTGTTTTCAGCATCTGTCGTCTCAACTTTGACAACATGAACACATGAACTTCATCTCCAGAGCTGCTCCGATAATAATAATGTATTTTTATATAGGCTAATAATTGAAATAATTTATTTTTAAAGCCATAACACTATCTTATTCTTTTTTTTAACAGTTAACCTCTGCTGTACAGCACTTTGTTTGCCAAAAACTAAAAGGAATTGTTACATTTTCATTTGATCCGATTTTAAAATATTAAGTTGTTAATGTTTTATGCCTTCATTTGATTACCACTGTTTTTTAATACATTTGTCTTAAAATATAAATCCAGAGGAATTAATACAGACAGAACACAGAAGTTCAGAAAAAAAAACTTTTCATATTTTTGTAAAAAATGTAATAAAAAGATTGTTGTTACAGTTTTATAAATTCAATTGACTAAAAATGCTTTTAGATTATTACAATTTAATTATACTATTTAAATGTGATTAAAACAGAAAGCACTTAATTTGAGAAAAAATTAAACAGATTTCAAATGGCCCTAAAATATACTGTTAAATTGTATACGTTTTATGATTTCAAATAATTAGACATGCTTTTTGGTTATAATTTATCAATCCAGAAAAAAAATAAATAAAATAAAACACACAAAATAATGTAATCCAGAAATATTAAACATAATCCAGTTCTAATGTCATCTAAGAGTACAAACTGTAGTAAGCATATGCTTGATCACTGTTATAATTATGTGGGGCTCCTTGGACAGTTTTCTCGCCTATAAAGGTCCCCTGGCCCCAAAACTTTGATAACCTGGAAGTCTCCGCTGTACAGCAGCGAGAATCACGTGATACAATAATCAAAGATGTCCAGCAGGGGGCGACAGACAAGAGAGCAAAAACATCATATTAATAAGTGTGAAATATCCAGCAGAAAGTCTGGATACACAATCCTGTTCTCTAAACATCTTCAGTAAATGTATTTAAATTAACTTAAAGAAATAGATCACTATTTTTCTGTAGTTTTAGTCCAGTAATGTTGTTCTCTTGTTGAGGGAGGGACACTGATATTTCTGTAACTGTAAAAAAAAACAAAAAAAAAACAGTGTTAACCACACAAAGCCAGTGAAGCTAAAGCGCATGTGATGAAAGAGTCAGTCATTTAGCTGCTGTTGACCTGATGAGCTTCAACACGGTAAGACAAACACACTCGTACTTCAATGAAAACTGATGATTATTGCTCATATAACATACGTGTCTTAACATGATAATCGTTAAGAATAGGGTGATGTGCATGTACTGTTGATGAGTGTATTAGTGCTGATTAATGCTGTATTATAGATATATTTGACGCTGATGTCGGTCAGAATGGCTCCTCGTCTTCCTCTGATCTTTCTGCTCATGATTCACGGTGAGTCTCTGTTACATTCACATCACAAACACTCTGATGATTTTATTTAAGGCCTCACAATGAGCGGCTGATGAGCACTTTC